CATTTGTAAGGAATATATGGGTTGAGCAGCAGAGTTGAGTATGTGGGTTGTGGCCATGAAAAAGTAGGAGCCTCAGTAACATGTGGAAGAACCATACACAGCCACAACAGCCTGGCACCTCATGCTGGTCACCAGCAGTGTGTGACTGAGGTTGCGTTGGTCACTGTGTTAAGTGGAGTTGAAATCAGCCATCAACATGTGTCTCCTTGTTTTGTTTGTTACATTTTTGGAAAAACCAAACTGCAGGTACAGAGAGTGTTTCAACAACAGCATGTCATTGATATCTATGATTAACTACTTATTCCAAGATCAAACCAAGTTCCCAAATAATATACTAAAAGATATTCTGAGTGTAGATAACATCTGAGATGTGGGGCCTAAATACCCCCAATATGAAGTAGTAACAGAGTATTGCACTCAAGCTTGTATCTTGTTCTGACTTCCACAAGTTTATTTTTAGATCAGATTTATCCTCAAGCCCCAAACACAGTCCTTTTATCCTGTTTTCCTACAACAGAAATATTTCTACACTTACACAACACATTTTGACACACTGAATGCTTTTATTTTCAAACGTGTCAATCCAGGAAAGCATAAAGTATAGATTTGATTTGAACAATAGAGTCAGCATCTAAGTAATCAAAAGGTTTTTAGCCCATGAAGCAGTTCAGCAAACATGTAAAACAGCAAAAATGCACTTTAGGTAGTAAAGTGTTTCAAAATAACCAATTACTGATGAAAGACTGACCCTAGTTTCCTTAAGTTAATTTATTTTATTCAGCCAGAAAGGAAATGAATGCTTTAAACTTTATATAAAACCCTGAACATAAACCAAACAGCCAACAGGTGGTATCTACTACGTGACAAATGGCGCCATCTTGTGGCCTCTTTCTGTCACTATAATTCATTCAAAGCTTGAATTATGGAATTTGCGGAAAATGCTTCACCTGTAAAAGTTTCAAAGTCACCAGTGACATTTTTCCCCAGCAGAACGTTCAACAGCTTCATCAGAATGAACCTGACTCCGCGCTCAAACCAGCGTTCCTCCCCGTCCAGGATGTGCGGAGTCAAGGAGGCAATTTACGTTACAATGCTGTGATTGCAGCCATTCTCCAACTCTCACTCAGTGGTACTCATGGCCATTAATCAGTGGTCTTTGATCAGTGGTCATGAAAATTTCCATAATTATGATGAAGGAACTGACCTCACAGCCCATTGTTCCTTCAGTGGTGCTAGTTTCAGTCATTATGCAAATCCTGCATTATGCTGTTTATAATATTGGGGAAACCTGCAGTCAGCTGAGACTGAAGAAGTCACTTGGACGAGTGACGAAACGTTTCTCCCACTGAAAATGCTACGTCCAGATGAACAGATGAATCAACTTTGGGAGATTTACTTGTCTGGATGACTGAGCATGCCTCAAGACCGTTTGTGGAAAATGCTTCACCTGTAAAAGTTTCAAAGTCACTGATGTCTTTTTTTCACCAGCAGAACGTTCAACAGCTTCATCAGAATGAACCAAAGTCACGTCACAAGAGTCAGAACACAGAGCTACCAAGAAAATCTATGACGTTCATCTCTGCATCATTTAGTTTGGATGTAGTTGGTGGAGAAATATCATTAAACAGTTTGCAGCGTTCCTCGCAGCACTCAGTGGACACTGGGCTTGGACACAGTCAAATCAGTATGTGGGATAGCTGGCTGCTCAAATAAGTGTTCTCCTTTTTCATACCAGGCTCATCCTCCAGCTGTGATTCCTCCCCTGTTCCCTTTTTTTCTTTGTCTACTGTAGTTATTTTATAAACACAAAATTAGCTCAGGTTCAGAGAACAATTCCAAAATCTTGGTAGTGACAGAAATACCAAGACTTATTTCACACAACGTGTTCAAACCACAATACACAAATGAAAGAAGCTCAGTGAAACAGAAAAAACAATGTTCAATAAGTTGAAAACCAATAGAATACAAGTTTTGGTTGTTGTGTCTTTGTTTTTGCTGCCAGTCCCTCTGTTTGTCTAAGGCAAAAAGAAAGAAGACAAAGAAGAAGAAATGATCATTCCTGAAAAACTGATGGGATCCGACAAATAAACATGTGCTGCTGACGTCTGTGGAAGTCTGTCTGTAGCCTGTGAGCACCATCAGTGAGCGCTGTGTGCCTGTGATAAGTGAACATAATACTTTTACTTATCTGACAGAGATGATACTGCGATCATGAAGGTGATTCATCCAAAGTGAGGTTCTCCTCTCGCACACTGGCTATTCTGACCTTTGTGAATTCTCCAAACGCGGGACTGTCAACTGCACAATTTATGTTGGTGGGGAAATGCGTGCGTGCTCTCCCCCCGCAATCATGTCTAAGACAAGCAAGTGTTAATTGGATGACGAACCATCGTTCTTTTAAACTGTATAGCTAAGATCTTTTGCCGTAAATGACCACATCCGTTGATAGAAGTCGTTTGTAATGACAGGTAAGAACATTTAAGAAAGATGAGGTGGAAGAGGAAGGGTTAGATCCTTCACCTTTTATCTTTGCATTTTTATTTTCATTTTATTGTAATTCTGAGCATTTTGTTGTTCCTTTTGGTGTTTTGGGAAACTGTAAATATTGACCAAGAGGCAACAATAATAACATAATAATCATAATTACAATAATTAATAGTATTAGAACATTTTCCTGTTTCTCTGTCTCATGGGGCTTTCGTCCTGGGTTTCTCTTGTGTGTCCGGTAACCTGACGTACTGAGTGCGTGCAGCTCTGTTTTCAAATCACACTAAAAGTTAGGATCTGTACGAAACACAGGAGATGTTTGACTAAATAGCACCCCGAGATATTTAAAGCCAGCATCTTTAAATGCATTTGCAAGATAAGGATTTTTTTGTGGAACATTACTTCCAAAAGGGAGATGGAGAGAAGACAGAGATCAGTAGATAAATAGAAATAGAAAGTCTCTGTACTTACTCCCCGGCTACAATCAGTCATGCTTGCCATGAAGGTGCAGGGTCTGGATGTGCATGCACACTTTTGATTAGCAGCTGACTCTTCTCTGGCTAGGAGTCAAACTGCCTGTAACAAAGTTAGAAAATGCTCTGGTAATGTGCTGTCAATTGTGGGGCAATTTGTCCGTGACAGGGTCGCTGAAGGTACACTGGTCCAGACTGAGTGTTATTCAGAGAACTCCAAAGAAAAAAAAAGCAAATTGAAGGATGCTGATGCCTCTATTGTGAGACAGGTACGGGGTTTCAGTGATCCCAACATGACCCTGTGTGCCGCTTAAGCCTGATAACTGGTTTTGCCACCCTTGGAATAAAAGAACTGCAGTTAAGTGTTTGTAATAACTGGCAATGAGTCTTTCACATTGCTGTGGATGAGTTTTGTCCGGTTCTTCTTTGCAGAATCGTTGTATTGCAGCCACATTGGAGGCTTTTTGAGCATGAACGGCCTGTTTAATGATACGACAAAGTGTTTCAGTCTGATTTAAATCCGGACATTCAATAACAGCGCTCAAAAACCTTCCTTTTTAAATTTTATTTAATTGTATTTTTTTTCCTAGCCATTCAGAGGTGGACTTGCTCGTGTTTTGCATATTTGTCCTGCTGCATAACTGAAGTGTGCTCTTGCATTTTGTATTCACTCTGGTTATTTTTGACCAGCAAAGAAAATTTGTTTAATGATTTGAAAAAAGCAAAAAACTAAAAAACTAACAAAACATTAATTAATGAGGAATGGGGCGAATCCTTTTTTTCACACGACTTTATGCTTTGTAAAAATGTTTCTCTTAAAATGCTTAAACCAGAATTAACTGAAGATCACTAAAGACATTACAGTTCCAATACAGAGCATGAAACTGATTTGGATTTGTTGGACTATTTAGTACTATACCTTACATTACACACGGACCACCACGGTAAAATCTGCTGCCTGGTAGAAAATAAATTGCATAAATTAGCCTCATTCTAGAATTGGAGGACAATTTAGGCCTAATCTTTGCTCAAATACACCATACATATATACATACACCATTCAAACTATTGCAAAGGCAATAGATTGTGAGTTGTGAGTTTAAAAAAGCATTCATGATTATTTTGCATGTTAGCACACTTATAAGAAACAAATATCGACAAAATTTTTAAAAAAAAACAATGTAAAAAGGAATAACTTATATAAAAATGATATATTTGGCCTACAACTTGTCAAAAATGGCTTTTGGGAGTCCTCAAGAACCTTTTTGTTTTTTAAATCATATTTTGGACCAACTTAAAAAAAAAAAATAGGTTTACATTTTGTCTCTAGACGAGTATAATTTTTTTTAAATGTATGTTTTTATTTTTCTGTGCATGGACTGCTTTCAAATTCACGGGTGGGATAAAAATGTTCTGCAACTGTAGAATTAACCATTAATAATCTGATGTATACCTTTAAATACGTGATTCTGTTGCATAAATGACATATGTTAAATAGCCAATGCAATTCAAGCAACTTTTTTCTGATTTGACACAGAGGAAGTGCAACTGTAAATAAATAAATAAATATTAATGCAGACGGGAGAAGCTGTCTTTTCAGGACAGGTTACAATCCCAGCGTCTTATTTTGGTAACACTCGGAACTCATGCATTTAATTCCGGCTGGCTTGCACTGGTGTGGAAAAGATGGCTGCTTCGGCGGCAACGGCGAGTTCTTCCCCCGGTTTGTGTCCAAATTACGCTGTGATTTGCTCTTTTCTTGAGCGCTACGGAGCGTTGTTGGACTTGCCGGAGCTCACCTTTCCTCAGCTGGAGAGGTATCTGCAGGACACATCCTCAGGTAGGGTAGTAAAAGGTCCCGCTGCTCACGGGGAGGAGGAGGAGGAGAGACTTCACCGCTGCATTAATGATAATGGTAGCGAGCTAGCACGTAGCAGCTAATGTTAGCTGGCTGTGTGTTATTGTGTTGGTTTTTTAACATTCTCCTTCACTTAAATATAACTTAACTCCGCCCTGAAGCTGCCATTCGAGGTAGAAAACACGTCTGTGCTCATAATGATCGTTATTCAGCTGCAAACGGGCCGAATTATTCGAGGTTTTCTGTCACTTTTTTAGCTTTTGAATTGGGCTTAATTTTTTTCCAAGCAGCCTTTATCTGCCGTTGTAACGTAAAACAACACAACACGCACACAAACATACGGCCGTGACAGTGCTCGCGAGGCGGTGAACGTGGAGATAGCTCACGCAGCGTGGCGTGGATTCAGTTAAGTGGTCTCCGAAGGTGTCAGTGTGTGAAACGAGCACGGATTTGTGCACTTTATTTACACTTAAAATATTTTGCCTTGTGGTGCTTCGCGCAGCTACCGTCAAGCCACACAAAAACAGAGGACAAACGCGTAGGCGCTTTCAAAATAAAATAACTTAAAGCCTTAGAAACGCAATAGTTTTGCTGGTTACTGCGGAACTATATGCGTGATTTTGATGTGAAATTAAATTAACTGTGACTTTTATTGTTTCCAAACTCTTAGCGATAACCATATCATAGAAAACGGTGTTTAAGAATTTCACGGTAATTAAGAAATTGTTTTCTTCTTCCGCTCCCGCTGCTAATTGTGGTCGACTTGACTGTTTTTCTTATCCCGTTGCGTCGATTAGCGCATGCGCGTCCTCATCTGAAAGTGTTCCTGATTGAGTGTGTATTAATTAGCATGTGCCATCACCTCGTGTGTTTTAAAAGGACACCACGGACACATTTTTTCTACGTTCGATACTCCCATTAATTATCGACAGTTTCAAGCTCAATGCTTTTATTTGATTAAAATTAGACTTTTTAAAAAATATATATACTTAAAAAGTATATACTTTTTCCAATCGAGGGAACAATATATGTTGTTATAAGGATATAGTGTATTTTTGTATTTATCCTAGAGGCCTTCCAGTGCATGTTGGTAAACAGCAAAAGGCGGGCATGTGTAAAGAATAAACTTGTTTTATGGGAAAAACAAAGATAAATAAGGCTCTGTAATGTGTTGACACTGAGTCCCGCACAGCGAAGGATAACAGCAAGAGTGAAAGAGAATGTTTACAAGGCGGTAGTGAGACGTGCTATGATCTATGCACTAACAGAAAGACAGGAAGCAAAGCTGAAGGTGCGAAAAGTGAGCAGGATGGGCAGGATTAGGAATGAGTACATCAGAGGAGAGGCACACTTGAGATGGTTTGGATATGTGCACAGAAGGGATAGTGGATATACTTGACGAAGGATGTGGAAGATGGAGTTTCCAGGCAGGAATTAAACAGGAAGACCACAGAGAAGGTTCACTGATGCAGTGAAGGAGGATGTGTAGAGGTTCAGTGTGGTTAGTGAGGATGCTAAGGATTAGGTGAGATGGAGGCAGTTGAGTTCCTGTGGTGACCTCTATAAAGAAAGTAGGAGATGAAAATGAAGTATGTCCAATATTAATCCTATTTATTTGCGCATTTTTGACTTCGTCCTACATTTTATGTTAAGTCAAAGGCTTTTTGCTTTGTTTTTGGTTTAGATGGTTTGCTGCAGATGCTCTGATAAAGGATTCTTTTGTTGTCAATTAAGACTCTTCATGAGCATCAATCAGAGCATCTCTCAGACTTGGTTTGATGTAAATATCACAGAGAGGAAACCTTCATTGCAAAATAATGTTATAAAATAAAAAATGTATTTAATTAATTAAATGTGAGCTTTTAAAAAATGTAAACAAAGATGAAAAGATGAAGTTAATATCAATAAAATGGGCAGAAGTTCAGTTAGAAAAACATACAAGAATCAGGTTTTTTTTCTTCTGCATTCACATATTAGAAATTGTCAAAAGGGCCATATTTAGCATGAAAAGCCCAATAGCGTTACATAGACATTGCATACATTGTTGCCTGGCTGTTTTTGTCTGCACTCTGGGTTTTTGTTTTTTGTTTTTTTTGGTCAGCTTTTCCCACGATGCAATAAATTTCATCTCCAGTCACAGCAGCTGATGCTGTTACCGGACAGTGTTACTTGCTTTACGGCTGTTTTAAACTCTCC